TGGCCCACCAATCCTCCTTGTAGTTTTCTAACTAAAAGAGAATGAACCTCTAGTTAAACCTCTCATCTGGAAACAGCCTAGTAAGGTCTATGACTAATGATACCTGTAATTCACTTGTGGTGAAGATCAACATTTCCTGTTGGAGCAAAAGCATTCATAAATGTTGCACATATGGAAGCTGTACAGTGTCTTCGCTTGTGTAGTTGCATGAGAGACGGTGCTTGGTTAGCACTGGGCTGGGCGGGAAGCACGGAAGACTTGTGTGTGAGGGAAGTGTGGTGCAGAAGCCAGTTGCTATCTCCTCACCATCACATCTATGTCCATCTCCTCTCATGAAACAAACTTCGCTGTCTTTTCAGTTTTATAATTGATGGCCTAGAGGGCTATGTACTGAGCTGTTAACCACAAGGTCAGTAGTTCGAACCCACCAGCTGCTCTGAAGGAGAAAGAGCTCTTTGTTTCCCATGAAGATTTATACCCAAAGGGCCAGCTCTACTCTATCCTATAGGGCTGATGGAAGTGAGAATGGACTCAATTACAATGGGTGCATTTGGGTTATTTGTCTGAAACGTGTCTCTCCTAATCAGCTATTGGGGGAAAGGGAAGCTATGCATAGGATTTAGCTGCCCTCCCCACCTCCTCAGCCCTGTGCTGGACAGGCCAGGTGTGCTAGCTTTTGCCTGCCCAGGCAGATATGGAAGCAGTGATACAAACCCAGGAGAGTCACGTCTTCCGTCACCAGGGAACAGCTGCTCAGTCTCAGCACTCGAAGAGAGGGTGACAGCTCCAGTGTTTCCAGGAGGAGCCTCAGGTTGCCACCAACACACTTATTCCAAGAAAGGTCGAATACTTCTAGCCCAGGCAGGTGTATGCAGGCTTCAGCTGAAAGTGACAGAATGGAGAGTAACCATCATGTAGGCTTCCCGAGAGATCAGGGGCTTCGTTTTGAAGAACTCAAGCTGGGACAATGCAGCAATATCATGGGTTAGGAAGGTTGTAAGTATTGTTTTCTCTTGCTTAAAATGCAGGGCCTCCATGTTTTCTATTTTCGTGGAGGGCAAAGGTTGGAAAGCATAGGAAAGGAAGTATTAAATGGGGTGCACTATCAGCTGGGGTCTCTCACTTCCTATTGAGGAAGGAGAAAAAGGCAGAGGGTTCAAGAGAGCTGGTCAAGGTTTCTCGGGGCTCCCTGATGGGTGAGCATTCCACTATGCACTCACGCTGACGCGCAGAGACCAGCAAGCCTCCCTCCGTCTCTGCAACACCCAAGTGTAATAACTTTGCAGCAACTACCAAGGCAAGGAAGAGGTATTTTACAACATTTTACCAAGAAAATTCAAAGACTGTCTGCTTGATTCTTAGTTGACCCAAAGGTTAGCATTGGCCACAACAACTTTTTCCCTACCACAATGGCCATTTATAGTTTTAATTATTCTGCTTTCTTTCTAAAATATAATGTGTTCCAGGGACAAATAACACATTCTTCAATAATATCTAATGAGAAAAGCCCTCCCACTCAGGAGAGAGACCAACCAATAAGAAAAGAAACTTTCCTTTTTTTTCTCCCAGAAGAAAGTTAGAGAATGATATATAGTTACTTGATTTTCTTCTTCATAAGAATGGGATGGCAGATTTATGCCATCTGGTGTAATTTAGTGTCAAAGCTACTTGATTACGATTCCTTCATTATACAGTTATATTTGGAATGAGCTGTGTATTTTGAAAATACTTAAATTTCTTTTTTTCCCTATGAACTTAAAAAAAATTATTTTATTGGAGGCTCTTGCAACTCTTGTTACAAACTATACATCAATTGTAGCTGACATATTTGTACATATATTCCATCATTCTTTTCTAGACATTTACTTTCCATTGAGCCCCTTGGGCCCGCTTCCTCCTTTTTCCCTCCTTCCCCCCCCCCCAACCCTCGTGGTCCCTTGATAGATCATAGATTGTTGCAAATCTCACACCAACCACTGTCTCCCTTCCCCTCTGGTTTCTGTTGTTCTTCCCCCTGGATGGGGGTGTGTGGTTATGTGCCATTCATTGCGATCAGTGCCTTAAATTTCTTTTAAAAACACTTTTCTCTTAAGAACATCCCATTTTTCCAACTAAGAAATATTGTTCTGAAACACCATTTTGTCCTCGAATTCATTTTGTGTGGCACTGTGCTAACTGAATGCTAGTCTAAGCAGTGGAATGTGCTGTGTGTGTGTGTGTGTGTGTGTGTGTGTGTCCACTTAACCATTTGGGGGATGGTGGACCACTCTGAGAAGTTACTTACTTTATCTACTTCGTTGATGCAAAGAATACAGTTAGCTTTGGGTATGCTGTGAACCTCACACAATCTTTGCCCTTAAGGAGATCTTAGTCTGGTGGGAATAGGGGCATTAAAGAAGCACACAAATAACTGTTTATGAATTATGCTCCAGGTTATAAGGAAAGGGCTCAAGGTCTTCTAATTTAGATAAGGAAGGGCCGTCCGACTACGGGGCCTTCATGGAGAGCTGAGGATAAGTCAGAGCTGCTGTCCTTTCAGGGGTCTTGGAGCCGGCGGTTCTGGCCCACCACCACCCAATGCACCGCAGCAGGAAACGCCTGAGGTCCTGCGCCATCCTCACAATTATTCCTACGCTTGACCCCGTGGCTGCAGCCATGGTGTCAATGCACCTCGTTGCGTGACTTTTGGTCTAGGCCCGCTTGGGCGAATAGCTGAGACCGAAGAGCCCATCCTGTCCTGACAACAGTTTAAAACTTATTTGAGAGCCATCACTCTATTTTCACAAACGAATGAAACCACCATGATCTGAATAACCCCCCTTAACGTGTTTATCAGTGAGACTGTGATGGTTTTCCTGGCCTTCTTGATGTTACTCCAGAGCCACGGGTATGTACCTGAAGAGCCGCCTAGGGCCCGTGAGCTGCAATTTGCTGACCCTTGTCCTAGGCTGAGGTCTCTCTGTGACCTTCAGGCTTGTCCAGACTCCCAGTGAACACACAATCCCCAGGGGGCAGTGGCTGCGGGGCAGTCGGCTAAGCTCGCATGCCAGTCATGGCCTCCCTTGCCTCCCAAGCTGCACAGTAACCCCAGTCCACAGGGCACCTCTTCACAAGTACAAGCTGCTGTGGACATGAGTCCGGCACTGTCTATAGACACTTTGCACGTTAAATGGTCAACCCGCAGGTGCTAAACTCATTCGTGTGGCCCGCAGCAGAGCACCCATTTCCTGACTAGAAGACACACACGCTTCACCATTGGGCCCAAGGCCGAGCCTTGGATGGGAATCTGCAGTTGGAGGAACAGGGACAGGTCAGCCCCCTCGCAGCTGTGGTCCAGTGCCTGGAAGGGTGGGAACATTCATTCTCTTACCCAGAGCTGTAAAGGTTTCCTTTTCCAAAGCACAGTTGTTGAGCAGCAAAGACTTCAACGTGGGTAGAAACCGGAGCCTGCTGAGCAGGTTTTCAGAAGAACTGCCCATCTTTCTGTTGGCGGATAAATCCAGTTCTTCAAGATTTGAGAGCAAAGGAATGACCTGGGCTGTTAAAATATCACACAGTGAACACGACGCCGGCACCATCACGCTCAGAGTGTCTCCCGGATCTTTGGTCTCCTGCATCTGGTAGTCAGAGCTCTCCACAGGCAGACCCCGACCCCCCAGACCCTCGGAGGTACACCCTTCCACTGCATAAACCAGCCATTCTTCTCAGGAAGCAGTGTGCTTTTCTACTGCAGGCTGGAAGCTGAGAGCAAAGACTTTGGAGAGAGAGAGAGAGAGAGTCCTGGGTTCTAATCCCTGCCTTGTGACTAGAGAACTAACAGTGATTTGGGACAAATAACGGAACCTCTCTGAATATGGGGCTTTCTCTTGCACGATGACCTTGTACGGTCATTTGGGTGATAAGATGACTTGCTCTGTGTAAAATGCTTAGCACAATGCCTGACATACATGAACTCTTCAATGAGTATGTCATATATTTTTCTAAGACTATGAGTAAAGCAATGTGGCAGATAATTTATGTCAACTTGAATTTGTATAAAAGTGTCGAGATGCCAGGAGGGTAGAGGGGAGGTGGGAGGAGGAGGGGAGGAAGGGGGAATCTATGGCAATGACTGATGCATAGGTCCCCCCACCGCAGGGGATGAACAACAGGAACCTGGGTGAAGGGAGACAGCAGATAGTAGAAGACATGAAAATAATAATGATTTATAATTTATCGAGGGATCCCGAGGGTGGGAGGGGGGAGGGAAGGACAAAAAGAGCTGATGCCAAGGCTCAAATAGAAAGTAACTGTTTAGAAAATGATGATGGCAACACATGCACAAGTATGCTTAACACAATTGATGTGTGCAATGTTGTAGGAGCTGTAAGAGCCCCCCATCAAATGATTAAAAAAATAAGTGTCAGGATGGAATCCAGCCTGTCAATCAGGTCACAGCCTGATGGTGCCCCCTGGGGCTGAGGCCTTTTTATAAGGGAGAAACTGGGGAAGTCCCTCTCCCTCTGCCCCTTCCTTGTCAGCTTGCTGGGACTCTGCCCACTTCCAGGGTGGCCCCCTGTGGGCTCCCTGGCCCCGAGAGCTGTCGGTGCCCTGATATGTTTCCACCAACTTTGGATCCACGTGATTCGGCACCTACCAGCCTCTGATAGTTCTGTTTTCCCCCGGGGGTGGGGTGGGGTGATAACCTCGGGAAATGGAGAGGGTAATGAGGAGGAGAGATCCAAGAGGGCAATAAGGAATAAAGTTCAATGGAAACGATCAGAAAACCCTGCTTGATAGGACTGAACTATGTGTGGATTATGTTCTAATAAAATGATTGGGGGGGAGGATTAAGGATGCACCTCAAACTTTCCCAGTTTCCAAACATCCGCCCATGCTCCTCTGGGCCCTGCAGCACTCACTCAGCCACGTCACATCGTCTGCTGTCAGGGAGCACTGGCGGAGACTGAGGACTTGCAGGTGCTTCAGCGTGGCCATGTGAGCTGGCGCGTCCGCAAACCCTCCGCCCAGATCCTTGTTGCAGGACAGGTCCAGTTTTCTTAGGTTGCACAGGTGTCTGAAAGCATCTGCAAAGAAGTCCAAATCCCCTCTGACCTGATTGCAAGGCGGCACGAAGGAGGGCAGCAAGGGAGAAGGCGGCTTTGGGGGCAGTGGGGCTGAACGGGGAAGAGGTAACTCAGAGGAGGATGACTCTGGCTTTCCTACCACCCACCCTCTGAGGGGTGACAGAAGAACCCCTTCTTTAGGGTCTGCCCAGACTGCCAGAGGTGATGGCCTGAGCCCTGCGCCTGATGCTCCCCTTCGAGACAGTTTCCCCAGAATGTTAGACTTTAGATTACAGGAAGGCTATTACAGACTCTGGAAGACACCGTTTCATTTGATATTTTCCATCGACGTGGACACGCTGCATCGGGGAATGCGTTTTGTGTAGGATAAGTATGGTCGTAACAAAGCATTGCCCACGTGAACATTCTTTACCTGCACCCATGAGTGGCATCGTGTCCATCAGTTTCTACAACCATCACGCCCCTCTCTCTCTACATTTTCTCACCCCGCTTAACAGAAGCTCAGTCTCCCCAAAGCAAGGAGTCCTGGGGAGGAAGTTTTAAACACAGAGGCTATTGACGTCACTCTTTTCATCAGTACCAGCTCCATCCACTGTCAAGTACAAAGCAACACAGAAAAGTCTCGGAGTGAGAGTAAATTGGTAGTGTAAGCAGCAATTTTGGTCATGGCAAAAAGCTTTATTTTCCTCCATTGTTTATCACACACCTAAAACATCATACCCTTTTCAGAGTCAGCTACTTAAAAATTATTTTTGTAACAAAGACAGTCAATGCTCACTGGAAAATATGTTGAAAATAAGTGAAACATGAAGATTTAAATTGCCTATAACTGTATTCCCTATAGCCAGTGAGATAGCTAAGGTTGATTGTGCCAACCTGGCCGATAAACACAAGTGGGGTTAATTGAAGGGCGGAGGGATAAGTGGCTCGGTGAGCCTAGCCTTTCGAGTTCCTGGGTCTCTTGCTTTGTGATGGTTGGACCAGGGTGCAGCTGCCTTAGCCAGTTCCCTGCTTCAGTTGGCAAGTCTTACTTCCTGCAAGGCATCCCTGAGAAGAAGCCACATGGACCTACCCTGATGCAGAGACCCCTGCCAGTGCTGAGATGATTACACATTCACTGACTTGGCTTTCCTCCTGCAGTCGGCATCATTGCGTGTCTTTTGTGAGTTTGAGGAGGACTTTGTAGATCGGTGTTGGACACATGGGCTAATGTTGGACGTATGGGCTTGGACAGCACTGGGTTGGGATGCTTTCTTAATGTACACTTACCCCTTGTATAAAACTCTCTCTTATATACACATGGGTTTCTGTGGATTTGTTTCCTGAGTTTACCCAGACTAACACAGCCAGTTTCTATTTTACTATGTTTCCCAACAGTTTAAATAATATATACAAAATTCCATCATTGTTAACTCACCCAATATTTTGATACTGCCTTGTGATAGTCCACACGAATGTAATTTCAATACTTTCAGATTTGAGGTACTTTCTAATCCCTGAGCAATACTATTTAGACTACCACAGATGTTTCTGTTCAAGGAAAGGTCAAGTATTTCAAGGTTTTGCAGCATCGGTAGCAGCTGACCTGGAAGAGGAAAACCCAACATGAGGAAAAAAATGGGAAAATGCAGGATGGGAAAGTTGGGGCAAGGAGTGGGGAGTATAGCTTAGTGTCACCTAGGGTTTTAGTCAGGTTCTTGGGTCCCTGCTCTCAGCTCCCTACAGGCTGGCAGTTCAAACCCAGCCAGTGGCATTGTCAGGCTGATGATGCTCTAGTTCAGTTAGATGACAGCCAAGACAATCCCAAGGAG